CCATTCCAGGAGAAGGATACTGTAAAATCTCCATTCCCACCCCATTCCAGGGGAAGGATACTGTAAAATCTCCATTCCCACCCCATTCCAGGGGAAGGATACTGCAAAATCTCCATTCCCACCCCATTCCAGGGGAAGGATACTACAAAATCTCCATTCCCACCCCATTCCAGGGAAGGATACTGCAAAATCTCCATTCCCTCCCCATTCCAGAGGAAGGATACTGCAAAATCTCCATTCCCACCCCACACTGGGGCCAGCCAGTTTGCCGGTTCTCTGAATTACTCAAAATTTCCGCTACCGGTTCTCTAGAACCTGTCCTAACCTGCTGGATTTCATCCCTGAGAATGCCGTGTTCTCACTACAATGCAGTAAAGCAAAGATTCTCAACCTCGACAAGTTTAAGAGGAGTGGACTTCAACTCCCAGAATTCCCCAGCCAGCCTTGCTAGAAATTCTAGAGAACCAATTCCCTTGCTGGCTGGAGAATTCTGGGAGTTGAAGTCCACTCCTCTTAAACTTGTTGAGGTTGAGAAACACTGTGATAAAGGGTTTGGCTGAAGGAGGAGTTGAGAAAAAGATCATCTCCCCTTTTGTTGCTGCTTTGTCTGGCTAACCAAAGTGAAAAAACTGATATTCCGGCTTGAGAGGTGGAATGTCATAGAGCAGGGGTGTCAAACTCGATTTCATTGAGGGCCACATCAGGGTTGTGTTTGTCCTCAGGGGGCTGGGGTGGGCATGGCCAGCTCAACGTCACTCCTCTCGGGGGTGCCTGTAGTGGCTTGAGCACTCTGCCAGCGAAAACAGGCTTCCGAGATCCGTATTCAGCTTCCACGGCCTCCTGTAACCTCCTGCCAGGGAAATGGAGCAGAGCTCCATTTCCCTGGCAGAGGGTTGCAGGAGGCCGTGGAAGCTGAATACGGATCTCGGAAGCCTGTTTTCGCTGGCAGAAGCACCACAGGCTGGTTCTTCACTGTTTCCAGGGCGGCTCCGCAAGCCAGATCTGAAGTACTGTGAGGGCCAGATCCAGCCCCCAGGCCTTGAGTTTGACACCCCTGTCATAGAGTCTCTTCGTCTAAGGAACAAAATTGGGATAGAGGTGTGGTCCGACGTCTTGTTCATTCAAAGGGGTAGTTGGGAACAGATCAAACCAAGAAATCTCCTTTGTGTCTTGGTTGCCAGAGCTGTTCTGGTAAGCTGCATCCATATAAGATGCTTCAACTGGTTATTAAGTGAGCTTCTCATTTTGAGTTTCCACATACGCTGAACCCAGAGCTAATTAAATGGGCTAGAGGTGCACAACATGCTAAGCCTTCAACAACCCATGTTAAAATGGGTCCTACTTAAAGGCTTAGGCCGTCACTGGGTGTGTCGCTGACCTGGTTAAAAGTTGTTGTGGTGAGTTTAGATGTGTTGGCCAATCTTTCATGTCCGAAACAAATGGAATTTCTATCAAAAGGAAAAGAAAGCATATGAATTTACTCCAGTATATTAAAATATACATTTGTAAGGTGTAAATTTGGTTGACAAGAGAGAAACAACACAGATAGTCCTCGACTTACGACCACAATTGTGCCCAGAATTGATGTTGCTAAGTGAGAAATGTGTTAAATGGGTTTTGCTGCATTATATGACTTTTCTTGTCACATTTGTTCAGCGAATCATCACAGCTGTTAAATCAGTAACACGGTTGTTAAGTGAATCTGGCTTTCTGGTTGACTTTGGTCGCAAAAGGGAATCACATTTTCCCAGGACTCTGGAACCGTCATAGATACGAACCATTTGTCAAGCAATCCAATGTAAATCACGTGACCCTGGGGATGCTGCAATGGTCATAAGTGTGAAAAATGGTCATATGTCACTTTTTTCAGTGCCGTTGTACGAAATGAACTGTTGTAATTCGAGGACTAGCTGTATTATAGACACATATGGTAGTTCAGCTATGTATCTAGTTTAGCTACTAGTCTGCAGATCTTTTAGCATCAACACCCAATGTCTCTTCTAATCAGTTTGATTTTTTCTGGAAGAATTGTTGGGATACTGGGGTTATGGATACTGATCAATAGTTTAATTCGTAAAACACTATTTACAAGATGAAAAAAAATCACCTCTTAATTCATCTCCTAATCTAATAGTAATGGGACACGCTTTCAAAAATGACTTATGACCCATGCTCGAAGCTATGACCATTACACCACATGATGTTGCGTGTCACATGATTGCAATTTGGGAATAATTGGCAACTGGCTCGCATTCACGATAGTTGCAGCATCTAATCAGGGAATCTGTTGACTTCTAACAAGCTGGGAAGCCGGAATTCACTTAACAACCACCATAAAAACGATCATAAAATTGGCCCAAGCATCTCTTAATGATCAAAATTCAAGCCTCTGATGGGGTTGTAAGTTGAGGAATACTTTTAAGCATCGAATGATGCTTTTCTACATAATATCCTGCTTGAAGTATTGATCTCATTTGAAATGTTCCCATTTTTTTCACCCTTCTTTCTATCCTTTTACAGAGAAATGCCTATATGATTGCAGCCGGGGTCATTGGTGGGATTTACATTCTTTGTGCTACCATTCTGTCTCTAGGCGTGCGGGAAAGGCAAGGTAAGCCAAGTGAATCAATTCACATCATGCAATATTATGATTATGTATTCTCAACCATAGCGACTTCTGTGTGTGTAGACTTCAATTCCCTAATAGCAGGCGCAAATAACTAGATGCATTCATTGAGTCCAAAGCATAGAAGAGCTTAGCATTGCTGTTGCTACGTATACACAAGAATCTAGTCAACAATTGGTCAAAACTAAATTGGCACTCGATAAGGGACAATGGAATTCAAGGGTGGGGGCTGGACGGGGATCTTTTGTGTCAATGCAAGGACATGAAACGTATGACACATTTAACCCCACCTCCTATTTCAGCCTGTTCTTCTCCTACACCAAAATTCCTCAGTTGGCATTGTCCTTGCTTAGAATTCTGGAAATAGAGTAAAAATTCATACAAATTGCCATGATGGGGATAAACTGGCTTAGATACCTCTCTCTAGAGGGCAGAAATCTTGAAAATGACTCAGCCCAGTTGGTTGAGTCACTGAGGTCAAACAGATGTGAATCCATAATTTGAATTGAGGTGCTGCAGTGATTAGAGTGCAGTACTGCAGGCTACTTCAGCTGACTACTAGCTGCAGTTTAGCTGTTCAACTCTCACTAGGCTCAAGCCTTCCAACCTTCCGAGGTGAGTAAAATGAGGACCCAGATTGTTTAGGGGCAAAAAGGTTGACTCTGTAAACCGCTTAGAGAGGGCTGTAAAAAACACTATGAAGTGGTATATAAGTCTAAGTGTTATTGCTATTTGAATTGAATCATCTGCTAAAATAATACATTGCATCAATGAGGGATATTGTGGTGTGCATGGACACCTCTGTAGAAGCCTACAAAACCCTGACCCTCTGACTTTAACGTTTTGTTAAATAAGCTTTTACTTTAAAAGAATGAATCCATCCTTTCAGAAATGTTCTCTGGCCCCCCCAAATGCACCCTGGTGACACCCTTCTAATTAAGGATGGTTTTTTTTTTCTTTTACGGGATACTGGAGGCGTGTTCAGTATCACTACTCCAGAGATGGGTTCCTGCCAGTTCGGACTGGTTCAGCTGAATAAGTAGTAACTCAGCCGGACACGTGACCATATTGGTTCTATCCTGGGCGCCCCCATCTTTATTTTCTGTTCTGCACATGCGCAGAACAATCTTCATTGAAAAATGTAATTTTCCTTTTTTTAATGGTGTGCATATGCACAGACCTTTTTAAGTGCAAATGCGCATGCGCATGGAGCAAAGTTTTTCAGGCACTGAACTGGTAGTAATGCAGGCAGGAACCCATCCCTGCACTACTCCTACTAATTACCATATTTTTCAGAGTATAAGATGCACCTTATTCCCTCAAAAAAGAGGATGAAAATCTGGGTGCGTCTTATACATTGAATACAGCATTCTTTGCCTCCTGAAACCTCACCCCTTTCACCAAAATGGCCATGCGTGGCCTTTAGGAGGCTTTCAGAGTACTCCTGGGGGCTGGGGAGAGCAGAAATGAGCAAAAAATGGGCCGCTTTTTTGCTCTATTTTGCCCCACCCCCACCCCCAGCCCCCAGGAGTACTCTATAAGCCTCCTAAAGGCTATGCATGGCCGTTTTTTTGATAAAAAACAGGCCATTTTTTGTTCATGGGGGGGTACCTCCCAGGAGCACTGTGCAAGCCCCATAAAGGCTATTCATGCCTTTTTTTGCGGGGGAAATTGGCCCATTTTGGGGAGGTTTGTAGAGTGCAAAAACTTTTTTTAAAAAATTTGCCTCTTCAATGCCTTTGTGCATCTTATACTCCGAAAAATATGTCAAGAGGGTTGCAAAAATCCCTTGTTTGCCCCCTTGGGACAAAATGATTGTAACTTTCTCTCCAGCGGCCACTCCTGCTTCATGCCTGAGGGAGGAAATGAGAGTGTTGTGCAAGAGTTGGGGATTGTATAAAGCTGCCATGCCTGGCCTCAGCTTCTCTCTCATGAGGCAACCCCACATTCTGGTTCTAACCAGCCACCGGGAAGCAGAAGCTGGGTCCCTCCCTGGACGTGTTCTCTGCTTCGTCTTCTGAGGGACGTGACTTCAACCTCCTGAATGAAAGCACCTTCTGAAGCCCACTGTGGCATGGAGGCCTTGTCTGGAGGATGCTTATCAAAAGAGTCACTCCTCTTGAGCAAATATTACTTGATGCCTCGCCCTTATCCACACACTCCACATCTGAGAAATCCTCCTGAGTGTTCCTTCAAGTGAAGAGCCTTATCACGTCATGCACAATAGTAAGATTAGCCGAAAAAGGAAGTTTGATGGGCAAACTTCCAACGATAGGACTGATAGGATGAAGTCACCAGAGGATAGGGCTGGATCATCTGGCTCACATTAGCTAAAGATAGCACACATTTAACTCCACTGTAGGTCATTCTCCACTCAGAATCATTTGTTTAGCAACTGTTCGACGTTACGACAACACTGAGAAAAGCCATTTACAGTCAGTCATTGCATTTATAAGGGGTTTGATCATGGTCACGTGATCAAAATGAAGGCACTTGGCAACCAACATTCATTTACAAAGGTTGCAGGGCCCTGAGGTCGCACAATCACCATGTGCAACCTTCCAACAAGGAAGTTAATGGGGGGACAGGGACTGGATCTGCTTAACAAGCATGGCAAAAAAAAGGGTAGTAAAATTGGGCATGATTCATGTAACAACCACACTGGAAAATGCTGGTTCCCATTGGGGTCATAATTCGAGGGCTGTTTGTTTCTAAAGGTCTATAGAGGTTATCAATCATCTAGGTCAGGGGTGTCAAACTTAATTTCATTGAGGGCCACATCAGCATTGTGTTTGACCTTGGGGGGCGGGGCAGGTAAGCATAGCCAACTCATGACTTGTGTCCAGGGTATCTGTTGTGGTCCTGAGCTCCATTTTCGGCTGTGACAGCTTCCTGCAACCCTCTGCCAGCAAAAATGGAGCTCCATTTTCACTAGTAGGGCATCACAGGCCAGTCCTTCACTGTTTCCAGAGCAGCCCCCTAGGCCAGATCTAAGCACACACCCCCTGGGCCGGATCTGGGCCTTGAGTTTGACACCCCTAATCTGGGTCCTGGTTGTCCCAAAGGTGCTTGTCCAAAAGACAACTGGACTTTCTTGGTTTTTTCCTTGAAGAAGTTTCACTCCTCAACCAAGAAGTGAACTAAAGAATGGACAGAAGTTTTGAGAACCAGTAGGGGAAATTTTGAGAGTGGGGAGGGACTGGGGATTTTGTAGTATCCTTCCTCTGCCACGTCCACAAAGACACGCCCACAAAACACAGAATGTTTTCAAAGAAAAAAAAACAAGGAAATTTAGTTGCCTTATGGAAAAGCACTTTTGAGGCTCCCTGAATCTGCTTCTCCCCAAATCTTTTTGCATTGATTTGTCAGCTTGGTACTGAATGTTGAATGTTGATTTTATTTATATGCCGCCGTTTTCCCCCGAAGGGGACTCAGGGCGGCTCACAACTC